GCCAGGACAATGCCTTGAGGCCCTTTCACAGTCAGAGAGAGAACAGAACTCAAAGCAATGCTGTGAAGCAACGTGCTAGCCCTGCCAGGCAACCACACACTCTGGCTTCCCACTCTGTAAAATCAAACGTGTGACAGTAGCATACTACACAGCTACACAGCTCTAAGAAAGAACAGCACTGGGGACGGAGCAATAGTACTGCAGGTAAGGCTATGCCTCCAGCAGCCAACCTGGGTTCTATCCCCCGCATCCCATATGGCCCTCTGATCGCACCAGGAGTAATTCCTGAGCTCAGAGCCAGGAGTAACCCCTGAGCACTGCCTAGTGTAGCCCCATTAAGAGGGAAAAAAAGAAAAAAGAGGAGGAGAAGCTGAAGCAGAAACATAAGCAAAAGAAGCAGAAGAAGTAAAAGATAAGAAGTAGCAGAAGCAGAGGCAGAAACACAAGAAGGAGAAGGAGGAGAACCCTTGCACCTGGCTTGAATGTTCCAGAAAGTGTTTTATGTCTCTAAGTACATGTTCTGTCCATGCTATAATTGGAGACAACGGTAACAACCTTTATTCCTCCACCCAGCTTTAGTGAGTTGTTCTAAGCCTCTGTTCCAGTTATCATTAATTTTTTGGGGAGGGACCTCATTTGTTTTGTTATCAAAAGCAAGCACATAAATTCCCCCACCTTGTAGTGAAATAAAATGTGCTGCAAACTTGCCTCAAATGCAAAGGCTCCGTAGGATTTATTTCCAAACTCTTCTTACGATTATACCTAAAAACATACGTGGTGACAGAGTTATGCAGCAAAACTTCTCTAGAGAAGCTTCCAGAACCCTTCATGCCACAGCCCTTTATAAGTTCAACTTCCCTCAAAAGCACCAAGTTTTACTTTTACTTTTCACTTTTTTTTTTTTTTTGGCTTTTTGGGTCACACCCAGAAATGCTCAGGGGTCACTCCTGGCTCTGCACTGAGGAATCAGTCCTGGCGAAGCACCAAGTGTTCAATGGAGGATGCACACAGAGGCAGCAAGGGATAGGCGGTCACTATTTTGAAAACATACTTTGCCTAAGGACCGAGTGCAGGCATCTGCCCCTCCCTTTCCCTTTTATCGAGAAGCTTTCAGTGCTTCTCCAAAGATGTCTCCACGCCGAGCTTATGCTGACACTCCAGTATACGTGTCTTGGCATGGACTTACCAACTTCTAATGCAGCCCTGTGTGCAGAAGAAAGTTGGGGGTTTATTGTTATTTTGGAAAGAGAGAACCATTATCAAAGCCAAATTACAAGGCACCACAACATGTTTTATGTCTGTGAAAAATCATTGCCATATAGGGCTGGAGAGATGAAACAGGTGAAGCATTGGGCCTTGTACACAGCCGACCTGGGTTCGATCCCCAGCATCCCACATGGTGACCTGAGCCAGCCAGGAGTGAGCATATAGCCAGGAGTAGTAAGCCCTGAGCATAGCCAATATGTCGCGATTTGGAAGGAAAGGGCTGTTATCGCATACACTCGGGTGACCGCACAGCTAGAATGGCTCTGGACGCTGATGGCCACTTCTCCAGGATGTGAGTTCATGAGTGTCAAGTCAGTCTGGTATTTGATCATTGGGGCCATGAACTTCCCCCAACAAAAATATCGACACATCAGTGCAGTCCCAGATACGGTTTCAGGACAGACACTATCCATGTCACCTGGGAGATTGTGAACAACACATATTGCTGATTTTTGCCTGCACTCTGGATGTGAGGACCAGTGCTCCAGCAGCCTTCCTGGTCCATGAAGCAGCCCCTGGGAAACATGCTCTCCCTCAGCACCGAGAACCTCGGGCAGGAATCTGTCCTCATCCAGAGATGACAAGCAATCAGGACCCCGTCAGGAGAGAAAAATAAACTTTTGACTTCTTACTATTGTCTGCTTAGCCTCCAAGCTTGGGTTTCCAGCTATAAATGAATCCTAAGTGAGTCCCCAATATTGGGTCGACATTAACTGAGGTGCCTCAGAGGAGAAGACAGTTTTCCTGCCCCACTCTCAGGTCCTGCCAATGTTTGCTCTTGCCCTTTCTCCTTCCATGCAGGCAAACCAGTTTCATTTCTACAAGCATGACCCAGCTTTAGAGGGGTCACCTGGGACTCTGAGATGATGCCACATCTGGCCATGATCTATTTAAGCTCCCACACGGTCATGATCCAGACACACACACAAACGAATCTTGGACCTGAGCAACTTGCTGCATCAATCTCTTCAGACCCTAATTATTAAAATTTTAGAATTCTTAGAGCCACGGAAGCTCTCGCTGCTGCACAATATTATATTATATGCATAACATTATATTGTATCCATAATATAAACACATTGTCTAGCATTGCCTTTTCGGCAGGTATGAGTGGTGGTAGAACTGGTCTCGAAATATCGAAGGTAACTAAAGTAGAGAGAGTATTGTGCAAATTATCTGCCACACAGGCAGGGGGAGGTGTGGAATGGGGGGTGGGGGGGCATTGGGGATTTTGGTGGAAAACGTGCACTGGTAAAGGGATGGGTGTTTGACGACTGTATGATCAAAGCTAAAACATGAAAGTTTTGTTACTGCACCTCGCGGTCAATCAATCAATCAGTCTATCAACAAATAGAGGGGTCACCTGACATCTCCTGGAGGGAAACAAACACTGTTGAGGTAGTCTCACTCAGAACCCCACCATGGATGGTCCAAGTGGGAGTCCCCTATGGAGGAGGCATCTGACCACAATACAATCACGTCACTTTCTTCTTGGTGCCAATTTAATCTCCAACTCACCCACTTGCTATAAATGGGGAACAGCAGCAAGAACGGTGCCCCCAGGGCTCAGCCCAGAGACTGGCACCCAGGAAGGAGAATGGATGAACACACTTGGTGAATTTATATCGATTTTGAATTTATTTATGCCGATCTTGTACTGATTCGAATCTTTCTGTTTTCTAATCTTCTCACTCCTCCTGGGTAAATGGTGCATTTTCCACTTCTCAAAGCCTCCATGGGAGAAGGTCACAGGAGGTAGAGGTTGGTGGGGAGAAATAGTCCAGAACTAAAGGAACAAACCACAGTCATGAAAGCAACCATGAAAATCATGGAGCACCTGCAAACATAAGGAAGGTCTGTATCATTAGGTTCCATGGGTGGCGTTGGAAGACTAAATGCTTGAAACGGTTGTATAAGGAACAACTTTGTAAATCATGGTGTTTTAGTAAAGATTTTAATAATTTAATTTTTTAAAACAAAGACTCACCTCATTTGACCTTTCAGGAGCCTCCTAAGCAAAATTAGAAAGTTGAAGGGAACAATTCTCAACACCCCTCCCACAATACACACACACACATACACACACACACACACACGTACTGATACAATCAATCTAAGAATAGCCAAGTAACCTACGTATTTGAAAATAATCTCTAGCCTCAGCTCTTTAAGGTTTGTTGATAGTTATTTTTATTATTCTTTTTAATGAACAAATACAAGGTTTCCAGGGGCCCCTGGGAGTGGGGTTACTGATTACACAACCTTAGGCTAATGGGCTAGCAACGTCCCTTTTAGGCACCCCCCCTACACACACACACACACTAATAATTTCCAATAAATGACAGATTGAAAACCAGCATCCAGAGATGATATGGTTTAGCTGAGACTCTCATACGCAGATAGTCCCCACGCCGGGCACCGTCGAAGCCAGTGTGACCTGTGAGCGATGCACTTGGACATGGGAAGACTCACATGTCTTGAACCTCCCTGGATGCCATCAGGGCATCCTCAGACAGAACATGCAGAGAATGCAGCCAGGTGCATCATCCCGACAGGCTGCCACGGAGACAGCTTTGAAACAAGCGATTCCTCTCAGGAGCAGTGACAACTCTGATGGCAGCCCAATGGCGGCCGGTCCTTCATGGGCACAAGACACAATCCTTATGCATCCCTCAATCCGAGTGATGGATGAGAGGGGAATCACCTTGCTTTGCTTAGGAAGTTGGGGTAAAGTGCCAGAAAGAGACCGAGGATGTCAGATGACGGCTGCAACCACTTCAGTGCCGAAGAGACATGGAGCTCAGAGATTTGCCCCTGGGACCTCATCCTTAGAACAATTTTCTCTGGTTTGGCTGCTAAAAGGAACAAAGGATTTACAAGGACGAATATAGTCTCCTTGCTCACTCCCCCCGTGTGCGGTCCAGGTCATAGAAGGACTTTGTTGGTTCTGAGCGAGCAAGAAAGTCCGTAGCCAGTGCTGAGGGGGTTTTCAGGAGTGAGGTGAGGAGACAGAGTGCGTCTATCCACCCTCACGAAGGAGCAGGAGCATACCCGGGTTACGTGAACTACGCAGCTCTATTTACCCCGTGTATCTCCCAGGCAGAAAAGTTAAATGGCTTTAAGAATTTGTGCTTGCATTCCAATCCATACATCCAATCTCCCAGGACCTCCACCCAGCCCATCCTTCCAAAGTATGGCAAATGCTTGCAGGTTCCATTTCTTCCTGTGACACCCAAACACGGCTATGTACAAAGTTAGTTTACAGAGTAGCAATGCCGTTTCTTGGAGTGACCCAAAATAAGCATGAAGAGCATCATTCAACTAGCCAGTGCATCACCCTGGATAGCTGAGAACACTTTGGTGGGGAGATAGATCCCTCCGGAGAATGCCAGAAGGTTTCGATTTTGATGATCAGAGTATCCACAAGGCAAATCTGCAAGTTTTCCAGGGGAAAAACAAGAGAGGCGATGCTTTGAAGTGCAAAAATTAGATGTAGTCTTTCCTGCAAGTCCTCAGGTGAGTTGGTCAGATCTCCGACCTCCAAGAAAATTTCTGAGGGGAGGCTGAGAGTTTTGTAACATCAGGTTCTGCAGTGCCAGGACACGTGGAGAAACACACCCTTCTTGCCTCGTGCCTGGGAACTGTGGTCGTTCTCGGGTCAATTCCTGGATATTCTGACTTCTCTTGTCACTAAAAAGATTTAGATTTTATCACCTCTTTTATATATATATATATATAATTTAAACACAGCCTGTGGTTGTGTTACCTGAAGTTAAGAGATCAGGGAGTGCAAAGGGGGCTGAGTAGCCCCAAATCCATCACCTGAGTCAGACACACCGACAGCCCTGAATGAGGGGGTCACAAAAGCAACTGATTTGAGCTGTCCAGGGGTAAGGACAGAAAGCGTGGGTGCCTTGGAAGCTCCCAGAAACGGTTCTTCTTCCCCTCACATCAGGACCTGTTCTCTAGTCTCCGGTAGCCGAAGAGCAATGAGGCCGCCACCCACGAGGGATGCAGCAGCCAGAAGGATGGGGATCACCTTGGTGATCCCAACAAATGAAGCGAAGATGGTGTTCCCCAGGATGGCGCCAAACTTGCATATTCCGTTGAGGATGCCAAAGGCGGTGGCCCTGCAAAGGAAAAAAGGTCCATAAGGATCCTGGGGTACTTTCTCTTTCTGGTGGTGAGAGAAGGTACAGAGATTGGGTGGGGGGTGGAGGGGGAGGGAGGAGAGATTGTTTTCCTAGGGGCCAGAGTCATAGAACAGTGGGGAGGGCACCTGACTAGCAGAAAGCCAACCCAGGTTCAGTCCCTGGCATCCTATAGGAGTGATTCCTGAGTGCAGAGCCAGAAGTAATTCCTGAGCACCACCGGGTGTGACCCCAAAATAAATAAACTGGAAAAAAAAAGAGAAAACTTTGGAATAGGGGGAAGGTTCCCAGTGGACTTTCACTGACCTATTATTCACACCACTGGACACTCCTGATTTTTAGGGGGGTCACACCCAGCAATGCACAGGGGTTACTCCTGGATCTGCACTCAAGAATTATTTCTGTATGCAGGCCAATGTTTGGAGATAGAGAGTCAGCTGTCCAGGAGGAATTTTACTGAATTTTGGATGGACTCAAGTTAAAGAAAAAATAAGGAAAATTCAATATTCATATCATAATTTAAGCTTGGGATGTGACCTAGTGGTAGAGAGCAAGGTTCATGTATGTGAGGCCCTGAGTTGATATCTGTCCCCCCCCCACCCCGCAACATACACACACACACACACACACACACAAACACACACACACATCAGTACAGTGTATCTTGACATATATTTAAATTGTCTTTTATATCTTCCAGTAAAGCTTTTTGGTTTTTACTTCCCATAACTGTTTTACCTTTCTCATCAAATCAATTCCTGGGTATTCTCATTTCTCTTGTCACTATAAAGATTTAGATATATATCACCTCTATTTTTATAATTAAAAAAATCCATATATTGTTGGTTTTATTCCTAGTCACTTACCAAAGCATTTCATGGCTTCTTACAGTCTCTTGAATGACGTCTTTTGGATTCCCTAGGTACAAAAATCACTTCCCACTCACATAATAATCTGTTCCCTCTCATTTTAGATAATACACAGAAATTCTTTGACTGGAGAGAGAGAGAGCGTCCAGTTGTGCTCTTCCAAGCTGCCTCTCCCCAGTGCCCTGGGCAGGAGAGAGAGGAAAGCGGGGTGGACGCTTGCCTAGCACATGGCTGACCCAGGTTCGATTCCCACCAGCCCAGTGGGCCCATCAAGCACCACCAGGAATGATTCCTGAGTGCAGAGCCAGGATTAATTGCTGAGCACCACCGGGTGTGACCCCAAAACAAATAAACTGGAAAAAAAGAGAAAAGTTTTGAACAGGGGGAAGGTTCCCAGTGGACTTTCACTGACCTGCTATTCACACCACTGGACACCCCTTATTTTGGGGGGGTCACACCCGGTGATGCACAGGAGTTACTCCTGGCTCATGCACTCAGGAATTGCTCCTGGCGGTGCTGGGGGACCATATGGGATGCTGGGAATCGAACCCCAGTTGGCCGCATGCAAGGAAAATGCTGTAGCTGCTGTGCTCTCGCTCCAGCCCCCCCCCCCCCCCGGACACCCCTTTGCTTTCTTTAAAAGTCACGACTGTCCCTTGAAGGGAAGAACAGCTAGGAGGCAGAATGATCTCTGCCTCTGAAGAGGGCATCTTCCCAGGTGACTGGCAGAGGAATGACGCTAGCGTGAGCACCCCAGTCACCTTCTCGGCAAATGTCCCCGACCCCTAGGTTCACACCGGCCTTCACTTCTCTGCCTCTCTTCCTGGCCCATTGTCTCCAACGACCAGGCCGTTCACGGTGCTCTCTGGCTGCATGAATGATTTCTCTGCCTCTCCTGGAGCTGGGCCTCTCCTTCAGCCCCTCCGCTGCTGGCCACTACACAGGGGACACTCTGTCACTGTCCTCCCGTTGTTCATCAATTTGCCGAGCAGGCTCAGTAACATCTCCATTATGACAACTGTTACTGTGTTTGGCATATTGAATACGTCACGGGTAGCTTGCCAGGCTTTGCCATGCAGGCGAGATACTCGAGGTAGCTTGCCGGGCTCTCTGAGAGGGGCAGAGGAATCGAACTCGGGTTGGCCATGTTGGCCGCTTGCAAGGCAAACGCCCTACCTGCTGTGCCATCACTCCAGCCCCGGGGGGGGACACTCAACCACTTAAAAAGAATTTAGTCCACAGGACTTCAAGCAGACCCAAATGACTCTTGGGAGCTTCTGATCTCTGGCCATCCCAGCTCAGATGAGCAGACAGGAGACAGGGGGAACAGACCTCTGGTTGGTGGGGTAAAGCTCCACTGTGATCACATCCAGCGCATTCCAGGCAGCAATGCTAGTGCCACAGAACAGGCATTGCCAGCCAATCATCGCCGACTCACTGTTGCCAAAGAACAGGAAGAAGCAGCACACCGCCGAGATGAGCATGGAGCCCCCTGCAAGGGAGAGCAAGGCGGAGATTCAGGTGCGCCTGTCCATTCGAAGCCCCATTGTGCTCGCAGGACCCAACGGGGAATGAGGAAACTGGACTCGACCAAGGGTGTGCGTTTCAGAGAGATTTATGCATTATCTTACAAGCGATTGGGGTGTGTGTATGGGGGGGGGGAGGTGATTCATGCCCTTACTGCAGTGCTAAGTGAATCAGGGATGCCACAGACATAAAGGGGCTTCCCAGGGTTGGAACAGACATGTCATCCCCAGGCCACACACCAGCACAATCACGGCTTTCCTTGGGCAGATTCCACTGCCCCCCGCCACCTCCCAGCGCATGGACGGGGTGTCCCCCCAACTCACCAATCATCTTGAGCCTCCCAATTCTGTCCATGAGCAGAGCGGAAATGATGTTCCCAGGCAGGACAGAGAGACTGCCCAGGAAGCTGACGAGGTAAATGAGAAAGTCATTGTCCTCCTCCAAGGCCATGTGGCACCCCTCCTTCTGTTTCAGGAACGTGGAGTTGACAAAGCGGCAGTTGATGAATTTATGCTCGTAGAGGTCTGGGGAGAGAAGGAAATACATGTCTGGTCCATGGTAGGCAGACAGTGCAGGGGAGCCCAGGGCAGGGATGGGCTGTGGTCCAGAACTTGACCCGAGGCAGTGTTCTCATTTATGATGGTGAGGACATGAGTCTGGACTGGCCAGTTCCCACTAGGGCTTACAGTATTGTTTCACTCATGTCCTCTGTTCCTGCAAAGACCCTTCATATGTAGCACCATTTAGCTGAGATCAAGAACTTTGGTGCCCAGGGATGGTGCAATAGCACAGCGGGGGGGGGGGGGGGGCACTGGCCTTGCACGCAGCCAACCTGAGTTCAACCCTTGGCATCCCGTTTGGTCTGTGAGTGCCACCAGGAGTAATTCCTGAGTGCAGGCAGGAGTAAGCCCCGAGCATCACTCAGTGTGGCCCAAAAAACGGAAGGAAAAAAAGATAGTGTGTCTAGTTTGAGCCATACTTGAACCCGAAATCTATGTCCCCTTCCCAAAACTCAGCACTGGGCACTCATATTTGTGAACACATTTCTATTCTGAAAGCTTATACCGAGCAGTTTGAGTGTTAGACAAGAACAGGCACGTCAGAGCCAGGCTAGCTGTGCCCCCAAGTCCTACCTGTATTATAAAATACTGATGACTCGATGGTGCAGTTTTTGAAGTAAGTATCAGTAGATGTCACATCTTCAAAGAAGCACTCATTAAAGAAAGTGTTCTCGAAGAGCACGTGTTTCAAGTACATCCTTATGAATCTGTGAAAAAAGACAGCTGCTTGAGTGACTCACCCAGTAAAATGGGACACAGGAGATCAAAAATCAAGCCCCAAAATAGACCAACAAACCCAAAGGTATCGGAATATTATTTCCAATCCAGGTGAAGTCGCCCACTTCTCAGTTGTGTGTAAGACTTCTACATTTCTTTCTTTTGTTTCTTGGGGTCACACCAGTCATGCTCAAGGATTACTCCGAATTCTGTGGTCAGGGATTACTCTTGATTTTGTACTCCTTGTGAGCTCAGGGGGCCATATGGGATGATATGGTTGGCCCAATAAGCTGCTTTCAAGATAACCACTATCCTATCTCTCTGGTCCTGGACATAAACCTTTTATATACTAGTGTAGTCTCTTTGAAGAACAATTTTGCATGCCCTCCCTTTGCCTTAGAAATATTACAGGACTGTAACAATTTATTCCACATATTCTTGGTCATGCACTCAAAGAAATGCATTCACCGGTTTGCCCTAAGGAAGCAGAAGACGTGGTCGGGTCACTGTCCGAATCGTGTCACTGCTGTCACTTTCTTTATCTTAGGGACCTTCATGTCCAGAGCCTGGCCGAGGAGGTTCTCTAAATCTGCAGCTGCCATGTTTCAGGCAAGGGCTGGGAGACGGTGCGGAGGAAAGGCATTTGCTTTGCACTTGGTCGGCCATACGGTTTCCATGTGCACACGTGACCTTCCCCTTGAACTGTAAATCAGCCAAGATGAAGTCACTGCCTCCAGACGCAGGGTCCCTGCAACTAAGCTCTGCCCAGGCAGTGCCCAGCTGTAGGGACACATAATAGCCAGCAGGTGGCAGCACGATGTAAGAAAAGACAAAGGGTCCTCCTTGCAGTCCTCTGGGAAAGGAAGTGTGTGTGTGTGTGTGTGTGTGTGTGTGTGGGTGTGGGTGGGTGCGCGCGCGTGTATGCGTATGTGTGTGTGTGCAGGCGCACACATGTGTGTGCATGTATGTGCATGTGCATGTTTGTACTTGTGTGCATGCGCATGTGTATCTGTGTCTATTGGTGTGTGTATGTCTGTGTGTCGGTGTCTGTGTGAATTTTTGTGCATCTGGTATGTCTGTGTGTATTTGTGTCTGTGTGTATCTATGTCTGTGTCCACATGTGTGTCCATGTGTGTCTGCATGTGTGTGTGTATGTCTGTGTATTTGTGTGTCTATAGATCTATGTGTGTCTGTGTCTATGTGTATGTGTGTGTGTGTGTGTGTGTGTGCAGGTGTTTGTGTATGTCTCTGTCTGCGACTGTATCTTGGTGGGGGGCATGATTCCAAGTGCTGCTCAGGGGTCTGCGGTGGGGGGGTCCCCTCCCTGTTACTCTCAGCCAGGATAAAGGACCTATATAAGGGCCTTAGGCCCAGAGTGATAGCGCAGAGGGGAGGGCTCTTGCCTTGCACACAGCCAACCCAGATTCAATTTCTCACATACCACATGGTGCCCCAAGCCCACCAGAAGTAATTCCTGAGTGCAGATCCAGGAATAACCCCTGAAAATCACCAGGCATGACCCAGAAATAAAACAAAAACAGTCTAATGGAGGTCTGAAGGGAGAGAGCAGTGGGTAGGCATTTGCTTTGTGTGTAATACACCTGGGTTCCACCCCCCAAATCCCATGTGGTCCTGCAAGCATCACGGAAGTGATCCCTGAGCACAGAGCCGAGAGTAAGCCCTGAACAGAGTGTGACCACTCTTCCTTCCCCACCTTACCCCTCCCCCACAAAAAAAAAAATATATAAACAAACCCCAGAGCCCTGTGGGAACTGGGTTTCACAGTGAGACACAGTTGTGTGAATGTGGGCTGGCGGGGAGTCACCTCCATCTCCATCTCCCAAATGATGAAAGAGAAAGTGTGTTTCCTCTTCCCAGAGTTGCTGTGAGTTTCCCAGGGCAGACTGAGCTAAGATCTTTTCTCAGAAACTGGCGCACAGATAGAGGCTTGTGCTGGCTTCCCTGGTCGCTACTGTCGGCACCCGCAGACACTGAGACGGCACACACGGGCTCTTCCTGTGAACTCACTGCTGCAGGAGCACTCTTGGGGGTAGGGAGCACTCTCGCAGGTGGGGAGCTCTTTGGCGGGTTACATCAACCCACTTCTCATGTCCCCAAGTGCCCAAAATTTCTAGTGCTCCAACAAAGCCAAGATCCTCTGTGCCACACAAGGTCTCTGGACCTCCACGGTCCTCTCTCGTTTTGACTGGGGCGTCCCTGGTTAGTGGTGCCAGAACATCTGTGGAGTGTCTGTGTGCAGGTGCAGGCAGGGAGTGTAGACGGGTGTGACTGTGCTTCAGCACTGAAAATGCCAATGTCCAAACATTGGATTCAGTCCCCGCTGCCCTCGCCCCGGCAGCGTCCACTCCCGGGCCTCACATCTGTCTCACATCTCACACCTTTCCTCCCTCTCTCTCTCCCCTGATACTTTAGGGAGTGTGTGCTTGGGCCTGGCTCCTTCCCTGAGAGCAGTGTGGGCAACAGACCCACACTGGCTGACGGCTGTGGGCACAGGGGGCAGAAGACATGGGGTGGGACATCTTGATGGAGATGGTCAGTCTGGGACGGTTAGCGCTGCCCATGGGTGGAGCCTGCAAAGCCTGATGCCAGAGCAGGAAACATGGGCAAGGGGTCAGCTTTGGATGCCACGACCCAGAGAATCCCAGTCAAGGTGCTGCCTGCCCAGCCTGGAGTCTCCAGAAGACAGACTCCTAAAGCCCAGTGAGCTGGGCTGCCCAGCCCGGAGCATGGACCAAGGGTGCAGGCCTGCACAGACATGGACAGGATGCCCCCAGACTCTGCATACCTACCTCACTCCTGGGGCCGAGGGGGGCCACACAGAACCACCCCGGGAGGTAATATTCAGTGAAAGAATGGTCTCAAGTGAGCCTTGGCATGGAGAAGCTTCTAAAAGCGAAGAACTCTGAGCATGGCCGAGAGTGAGGCTCCAGGCATCTGCATGAAAGTCTCATCTCTGGAGATTTGAGGTGTCAGCCCCAGGGCATGATGGGCTTCTGGCAGCTGTGACTGTGGCAGTGCATGGTTGCTATGGCAGCCTGGAACCCGGAGCCCTGCTGTGATTCATTCCTGCCTTGACACCAGCGATTTCCCGGGGACAGTTCCCCAGCACTGTCCCCGGCCTGCCGAGGCCCCGGGCCCTCCCACTTACTTGTCATTCACAAATTTCCCGTGCTGGTGAATCTGGTTTTCCATCGTGAAGTTGATGGTGGCGCCGTGGACATGCTCCCCGAAAAACAACTTCATCTTCGACTTATATTCTTCATCTTGGAAATACCGGATCATGTCAGGGAACCAAACCGTCAGCCCGTAGTAACTGTGGGAGAGAAGAGGCCACGGGCTTCGGTCTCTCTGGAACAGAGTGGCCTGGTTTCCCGGCTGGGTACAGGACAAGTTTACTTCAGACATATTAAAATGGTGCCTTACTGGAAAATTCAACCCGTCACATTAATAGGCTGAAGGGGGGAATGACGATCTCTTCAGCAAAAAAGACATTTGATAAAAATCAACATGATTCCAACATGATTTTTAAAATATATATTAAGAGGAACCGTAAGGACAATACAGTGGGGAGGGCACTTGCCCTGCATGCAGCCGATCTGGGTTTGATCCCCAGCATCTCCTATGGTTCCTCAAGCACCACCAGGAGTGATTCCTGAGTGCAGAGGCAGGAATAACCCGAGCATTAACAACAACAACAAAAACCCAAGAAACCAGGAATGGATGGATACCTCCCAAACATGCAAGAAAATAACCATCTCATTAATACCCAAGAATAGCTGAGATCAGCACCAGGAGGATTACTCCATAACTTAGAGGCCAGCCAGGTATCCTAGAGGAAAGGGCAGTTCAGATAGAGAAGGGAGCACCAAATAAAGGGTGTTTGGAGGATCCTCCCAGGAGGGGAGATGCATGTCGAAAGTAGACTATGGACTGAACATGTTTGCCACTCAATGCCTCTTTTGCAGACCACAACACCCAAAAGGAGAGAGAGAACACAGGAGATTGCCCTGCCACAGAGGCAGGGTGGGATGGGAGGGATGGGGGTGTGGGGGATATTATCCATGGTGGTGGAAAATGGGCATTGGTGGAGGGATGGGTATCTGATCATTGTATAATCGAAACCCAAGCACAAAAAATTGTAAATCTACAACTGTACCTCATGGTGTTTCACTAAAAAAATAAAAAAATAAAAAATAAAAAAAAAATAACCATCTCAGCCCAGACTGCTGGGGCTGATTTCACAGGGAAACTGGACTTGCACAGAATCAGGAGCAAGGCCAGGCACCCGATCTACCTCTATGCCATAATCCTCTTGGGGAAAAGCTCTCAGGGATATAAAACTGCAAAACCAGGAGGCAAAATGACCTCTATTTTCTGATGACGTGAATTGAATCCTGGACAATTCAGGATAATACCCATTAGATATTCTATTTAAAAAAAAAAATAGAAAAAAGAAAAGCCATCCCGGGTCCCATCTCCTCCTTAAAAGAGAAACGCGAATGATAAAACACTTGGCGCTAACCTTTTCCACTACGAGAGCATTAAAATCCTGACGCTTACAAGAACACTATGCTTGTCAAGGTCGGGGAGCCTGAGGTCGCTGGGGAAGGACGAACAGGCTATATGTCAATGGGCAGAGAATTGCTTTGTCTAAAGAATTACTACGGGATTCACCATCTCCCACGCTACAGCTGTTTTTGTAGAACCAGATCCACTGATGGACTTGCCCAGGGACGAAGCAGCTGCAAGTGGCGACTGCACACGGCCTTACACAAGGCCCTGGCACAAGGCGGCAGAGGGAGTGTCATGGCCATTCCATAGTACAGAGAAATGAGGACAAGTTCCACTGACTGCAGGAAGAGTCCAAAGGTACTCTTGGAAAAAGAAAAGCCAGAGCAAGAGCAGGCGGATGATGAGGGAGGGGCTCTGTTCCCAAGAGTGCCCAGCAGAGAAGGCCCCTGGCGGCCGCCTTTCCTGGGGTTCTTGCTTGCAGGGCTGGCAAGCATCTGCACAGGAGGCCAGGCGGCCGTGCATCTTCTGTTCCCTGCAGTCAGGTTTCCAGGGTGACACCACCCAGGGGCGCCCACACACGGGCCTCAAAAGCCTGAGAAGCAAAAGTCCCAGGGGGAGCCCCCGGTTTTACCTCAAGGCCATGGCGAACCAGACGACAGCCAGCATCAGTGTGTTTGTCCGGAAGGGCCCCAGCACACAGTACAGCGCATTGTCCAAGACCTGGAACCCAGAAACGGGCTTTGAGCGGGGCCCTTGGCAAGCGGCAAGCTCCTACAAGGCCTCCTGTTTGGGTCTTATTTGGGACCCAGCGATGCTCAGGAAATTACTCCTGGCAGTGCTCAGGGGACCCTATGGGATGCCAGGGATGGAATCCAGGTCAGCTGCATGCAAGGCCAATGTCCTCCCCGCTGTGCTATTTCTATGATCCCTGTAAGATTTCTGGTCACTCGGTCTAGGAGCCTGCCTGGGGACGGGGACCTCGGAGTCAGAGAGAAGGAAAAATTCTTCTTACTCTCTAGCTGGCCTCCCTTACCCATGAGCAAAGACGCCCAGCATGGAGAATGTCAAAGCACCTGGAAATTCTATGTAGTGACCTCCGCCCCTCGTGAAAGGACCACAGTGAGGACACAGTGACCACTCACCTCAAGGTCACCCAGGCTCAAGTAACCCGCTTCTCCCAAGAAGGGTCGTTGCCCTTCCAGGAGGCTCTCGGACACATTGCATGGACTCAAAGGGTCTTTTCTTCCCTTTGTCCTTCCTTCAGGGGGAGCTGTTATTCAGACTGGACAGCTGACCATGTCCCACAATCCGGCTTGAGCAGAAAGATGTATAGAGACCAGAGCAACAGGACAGTGGGGAGGGAGTTTGCCTTGCACACAGTCGACCCAAGTTTGATCTCTAGCATCTCACAGGGTCCCCCAAGACCTTCCAGGAGTGATCCCTGAGTACAGAGCTGGGAGTCAGCCCTAAACATCACTAGGTATGGTCCAAAAACAAAAACAAAAAAGTAGATAAAGAGAAGAAGCTATTTGGAGAGTCTGAGCTCGGGCCAGGGAGACAGTACATTGGGGAAAGCGTTTGACTTGTGTTCAGTCAACCTGGGTTTGATCCCCGGCATTGCATATGCTTTCCTGGGAATCATCAAGAGTGAGCCCTGAGTGCAGAGCCAGGAGTGGGCCAGGAGCGAGTATTAAGCCCCACCAGGCGTGGGTGGCCCAAACCAACAAAGTTTGAATTCCAGGTGCAGGAAGCAGAGGAGGGCAGACGCATACAGCTGACCCAGTCCAGCCCCCTTCCCACGTGCTGGGTCTCTGGGCTCTGTCCAAGGTCCCCCACACCCACAGCACCTCCCCTCAGGCCCCTGTCATACCTGCTTGAATGTGGTAGTGAACCTGACCAGCCAGCGCTGGTACCAAGTTCCCGTGGCACTCTGGATCTCGATGAATTCATCCATCTGCTTGGGGGTCTTGATGTTGGAAACCTGCAGAGCAAAGACAGGCTAGAGAACCTCCAGTAAACCCAACTTTGTTTGATTTTTTTCATTTGGGGGCCAAAAATTGGGGGACAAAATTGTCAGGGTTTACTCCTGGTTCTGCACTCAGGAATCCCTCCTGGCAGTGCCCGGGGGACCCTTTGGGATGCTGGGAATTGAACCCGGGTGGGTCATGTGCAAGGCCAGTGCCTTCCCCACTGTCCTGTGGCTTCAACCCTGGAAACCAAATTCTTCTTATTCCCTGACAGTTTTAGGAAGGAGTCCAGGATCTTCATTCTGGACAACATGCTCCCTCTCTCTTAGGGGCTGGAGCAACAGAGCAGTGGATAGGACAACCGCCAACCCAGGTTTGATCCCCGGCACCCCATAGGATTCCCCGAGCAGCACCAGGAATGACCCCTGAGCACAGAACCAGGATTCAGCCCTGAGCACTGCCAGGTGTGGGTCCCTCCCGATGAAAAATATCAAACAAAATCCAAAAGTGGATTCTATTACCTAATCCAACAAATCATTGGCCTGTGTGTGTATGTGTGTATATCTGTGTGTCTGTCTTTCTGTACGTTGTGTGGGTGGAGGTAAGCCCAGGCTGAGGTGATATAGAACCTCCTGTGGGGGTCTATTCCTCTGACAAACGTCCGTGAAGCAAGCCCGTGCCAGGTAGAGGCCCCCCAGGGTGCGGCCCTTGTCCACTCACCGTGAAGACCTTCTCCGGGGTGCCCTTGGCCCTCATATTAGTGTCATGGACACGCTTGAGAATCATCCAGGCTTCATCATGTTTGCCCATCTGGGAAACCAAGGATTGAGACATGAAGAGCAGCCAGTGCTGAGGGGATGCACCCCGGGGGGACGTACCCCAGGGGTCTGCTCCTGAGCCACCTCTGGATGCGAGGCAGTCTGGGTTTGGGCCACTCCTGCCCATGTCCACTCTGGCCAGTGGAGGCACCAGCCTGCCGGGAAAATGCTCATCTCTGCTGGCCACTCCCGCCACACCAGCCGCCAACCAGCTGTCGAAAACTTTTCTGCTCCTCACAGGCAGGAATGGCCAACACGCAGCCCCAGTGGAAGGGCTCAGAATATGGCCCGCAGAAGGCAGGCAGGCCCTGAATCCAGCTGGGGTGCCCTTGTGAGAAGGGAGCCTGGGATGACACCCATGGGGCAACCTAGGGAGCCCCTGAGCTACCTGCAGGCCAATAGCCAGATGCCCAGACCGGCCACGGGACACCCAAATCTTCTGAGGAAGCACCGTCCTGCTGGCATCTGAGGACTGGGGGTGTCTCTCTGCTTCTGTTGCCTTTAGCCACTCGGCCTGTGGTCCATGCAACAGGAGCCCTGGGACCCGAGCCCTGAAGGGCCACACACTGGCATTTTGCTCCCAAGGAAAGTCATCGGGTCCCGGGGCAGGGCTCACTCTGCAGGAGGTTGGGAGCACTTGGGCTGCAGGGGCTGGACGCAGAGGCCTCGGAGAGGGGCTGGACAGCGCCTTTGTGCAGGGCCAGGAGGGGCTTGGGCCACAGCTTGGAAACACGCCCGCCCAGCAGCATGGATGAGCGGGGGAGGCGGGTGTGCTGTGGAAAGCAGCAAGTGCTGGAACAGCAGCCTCAGGGGAGCAGTTAGCAGGGAAGCCACATGCCCGGCACACACAGAGGGGGGCCCTCGGACTGGGAAGGCAGCTGCGGGCGCCAACTCACCTCGAGCAGAAACCGCGGGCTCTCAGGCATGAACTTCAGGGTCACCAGGGACACGGTGCAGGGCAGGGCGCAGACGATGACAAACAGCCTCCAGCTGTGGTAGTGGTAGGCGGTGCCCATGCTGAAACCCCAGCCTGTGGGAGCCAGACACTGCCTGAAGCCCGGGCTGAGCCCCGCTTCCGGCCGCACCCCCCAAAAAGGTGTCTGGAAATGCAGGTACCGGAGCAGACTGGGAACCCAGCGCTCCTCTGCCCCGGGAGGCCTGCCTGACCTCTGCAGGGCCTTGGATCAGACACTGAACTGAGACTGCGTTCCAGAGTCCTAGAGGGCATGAAAATATAGGCCCATACGGGGGTGCTGGAGCAATAGTACAGCGGGGAGGGTGTTTGCCTTGCACACAGCAGATCTGGGTTCGATCCCCGGCATCCCAAAGGGTCCTCCGAGCACCGCCAGGAGTGATTCCTGAGTGTAGAGTCAGGAGGAACCCCTGCTCAGGTATGGCCCAAAAATAAACATATGTGTGTGCGCGTGTGTGCATGCGTGTGCATGCGTGTGTGTGTGTGTGTGTGTGTGTGTGTGTGTGTGTGTGTGTGTGTTCATACTGGTTCACTGGCAGCTGTTTTTCCCCTGCTTTGATTGGAGGCTGAGCTGCATGGGGCCTACCCCAATCCCTCCTGCACAAGGAGGGACAAAGACGTGAAGCTCTCCCACTCCCCCACCCCTGTGAGGAGAGTAGGCAGCCCTGGAGTGGCCCCGGAGCCCAGCCTGTATTGTGACAGGGAGGATTCAGTTGCGACAGTGGCCGAGGCCGCTGTGCCACCGTGGGACTGAGCACTCACCATAGTGCGGGATAATGGTCCAGGCCATGACTGACGCATAGATGCCCCCGGTCATCCAGAAGATGCCCAACCAACTGAGGTGCTCCCCTCGCTTCTCTCGGGACAGGAACTCAGAAAAATAGGCAAACACAATGGGCAGAGCACCGCCAATACTGCAGAGGGAAAGTGTCAGAAAGAATCAAGTCAGGGCTGGGGAGAGAGCCCAGCAGGGAGGGCATTTGCCTTGCACAAAAAAGCCAGCCAGGTTTGATCTTGCGCACCCCACAGGGTCCCCCGAGCCCCATCAGGAGTGATCCTGAATGCAGAGTCAGGAGTCAGCCTGAGCACCGCCAGGTGTGGCCAAGAAAAAAATTAAAAAATAAAAAAATAAGAAGGAATCAAGTCAGACCCGAGAAATGGTCATAGCAGAAACCAAGGGGTGGGGAGGGAGCCCTTTAATCCATCCCGAAGTGAAAAAAATCCAGCAGATCTGAAAATCTGGCAAGAAAGAAAAGAAAGAAGGGCAAGGTGGGGCAAGGGCAGGTTCCCTCTGGGCGAGTTTGGCCTGGGGGTCTGAAAACAGGACTCCTGGCTAATGCACTGTCCTGTTAATCAAATGCAAAGTCAGCCCTAGGCCTTCTGGAGGACCATCTGGGCAGGACTGCGAACCTACCCTATGCCTGAGATGAGGCGGCAGAAGACGAAGGCGCCGTAGCCCTGCACGAAGGAGGAGAGGGAGGCAAACGAGGCATTGATGGCCAATGACGTGCTGAGGACGCGCTTTCTGCCCAGCTTGTCAGCCAGGCCACCCAGGACGAAGGCCCCCGCCATCATCCCCAGATACACGATCAGCCCTGTGAGGGGAGAGGAGAGAGAACGAGAAGCCTTCAGAGCATATGGAAAACCCAATGCCCTGGGGCCCGAGCGACAGCACAGCAGGGAGGGCGCTGCCTGGCACGCAGCTGGCCCAGGTTCGATCCCCCACATCCCTTGAGTACCACCAGGAGTGATTTCTGAGTGCAGAAGGAACTCCTGAGCATCTCCTGGTGTGGACCAAAAAGCACGAAAGAAAGAAAGGAAGAAAGAAGGAAGGAAGGAAGGAAGGAAGGAAGGAAGGAAGAAAGAAAGAAAGAAAGAAAGAAAGAAAGAAAGAAAGAAAGAAAGAAAATCCAATGCCCATTTTCAGGCCTCTGCGAAATGCCATAATGGCTGTCTGGGGTGCAATGCAGCAGAGAGTGGTTTCAGGATTCGCAGTGCTGGGCAGATTTCCCTTCTTTAGAAGGTAACTCCGATCCCCCAGCTGCCTCCCCAGGCTCCTCAGAGGCATGCTAAAACCTATCAACCATTTTTACGTGACTTTCTTGAAGATTTTTAGGTTAATGATCCACTGAGAAAGGAAACGCTGTCATTTTATTGGAAGCAATAACAAAGAAGTGCTTGAACTGCAGATATCCTTACCTGCCAGGTTATGTTTAAAGACGAAATTTCTCAGGGGAAAAAACTCAAGGCAGAGTGGGTGTGGGGACATTGGAAAGGAAGGAAAACGAGCAAATCAGGGGTCAGAGTGATAGTACAGCAGGTAGGGTGTTTGCCTTGCATGTGGCCAACGTGGGTTGGATTCTTGACATCCCAGAGGGCCCCTCAAGCCTGCCAGGAGTAATTCCTGGGTACAGAACTAGGAGTGAGCTCTGAGCACCACCATGTATAACTCCGCCCCCCCCCAAAAAAAAACAAAAACAAAAAGAGCAAATTAAAAACACAACTGGAGCTGGAGTGATGATACAGCAGGGAGGGCATTTGCTTTGCACGCAGCTGATCCAAGTTCTATCCCCAGCATCCCATATGGTCCCCTGAGCACCAGCAGGAGTGATTCCTAAGCACAGAGTCAGGAGTAAGGCCTTAGCATCACTAGGTATGGCTCCAAACCAAACAAACAAAAACCAATCACAATTGCCAGGAAGGCTGGCTGTTTTTCTGAACATCCATGAAGGTCCTTTCCAAGCTATTGCCAGTGTTTAGATTCTTGGTGACAAAGCAGCCATGAGCTCCTCCTAAAACACACAGAATTCAAGTAGCATGACAAAAAGATCAGTCCTGTAATAAACACACCAAGTACAACGCTGCCAGCTCACACATGGGACTCGCCAGAAGCCAGCTTCCTCACAAGAGGTGGCAAATCTCCAGAAACCCACGGATAATTCTTCCCTATTAAGCCTGAGTGCTTGGTAATTATCAGTGCTGGGCTAATAAGCACACACACACTTTATGTACCAAACCTAGGAAGGAAATGTTCCAGGATGTCTCGCCTGCAGAGCAAAGACTGAATCGAGTTCTTGGTATGAGTCTCGGTATGTCCAGTCCAGGCTCACATGTCAGGGAGCACTGAGCCGTGTGGGACAAAGGCTTTCTAAAAGCCAAGGTGCTGGCTTTGTGTGGATGCATGTCAGGAAGGGCCTGACATGTCAGTGAAGGCCTTGGAGGAGGGATGTAACGTCCACTCAGCTGCACAGTAGCCAGCTAGCCTTTCTCCTCTGTTCACCTGGCTCTTTGAGATGAAAAGAAATGATGGTTCCGGGGCTACCACCAGCATTCCCTTGTGAGAATGTTCTTTGCTCACCCACCTTGGAACCCAAAACTTCTCTGTTGCTCTGAGCCATGGAATAAGGGTCCTCCCTTTTCTTCCCACAGATGGAACTCTGCCGTAGATCCTAGCTGAGTATCCCGGCCACTAGGAGATTCTGTGGTTAGCTAAGCACTCTTATCACTGCGAGGACATAGGGAAGATCTGACGCAGGGAGTGTGCATGGAGCTTATGCTCCAGTTGAGGGAAAGAGAATGATATATAAGTAACGGAGGCAGGCTCTACTAATTAGGGGCCCACTGATTGTGCATCAGGGGGTATGTGGCACCCCGAGCTCCACCAGAGGGAACCCTGAGCACAGAGTGAGAGGGAAGCCCTGAGCACCACCAGGTGTATGATCTCCAAAAAAGAAAAAAAAAAAACTAAAAAGCTATCTACAAAGTGCGTCATTGAAAGACTTACAGAGAAAAATATCACAAAACAGAAGGGAATGGGGTGAGGCAGGCGGAAGGTTTAAATAAGATGGTTCAGAGTGATTTCACTGGGAACCAAGTTGCTGAAGGGAATGAGCCCTGGAATGTCTAGAGGAAACTGTGAGCCCCACCTGGTGCGTTTCCCTGTGAAAAACTCAGAAAATGTAGAGAACAACTTCCTACTGCATTCAACCCCTAGGAACATTCTAGAAGATGAATAAAAATTTGCAAGCCAGAGAGATAGTAAAGGAGTCAAAGGATCTGCCTTGCATGCAGTTGGCCCTGGTTGGGTCCCCAGTACCACATTTACCACATATGATCCCCAAGCACTGCCAGGAGTGAGCCCTGAGCACAGTGCCAGCAGTCAGCTCTAAGCACTGCCAAGTATGCCCCTGCAAAAAAATTATTATTTTTATTTATTTTTTTTATTTTGCAAACCCACATGCCTAGGCAGGTCAGTGTCCTCCTGCTAGATGCAGGCATATCCGCCTGGTCCAGCCCGACCAGGCAAAGATCTTGCACATCAGTTCTCAGAGACTCAACCCCATCAGTTCTGAGCCCTGGACTTGCCTCTACAAGGGCAGCATCTTATGAGAAGGTCACAGAAGCCGCAGGGCGCATTTCCACCGAGAAAGTCACGGAGCTGCAGCTGAAGGGCAGACAAGCTGGTCCACTCCCAGAACCGCAGACCATGGCAGACTGCCCAGAGGTGGAGAGGCAGCCTGGGGTGCCCATCGGCGCCCGCCCTGCAAGAGGCTCAGCAGGACAGAGACTGTCCGGGAACTGGCGGGGGGGCTTGGGTCAAAAGGCAGCTAGTGTGTGTGTGTGTACGCGCGCACACACACACATATGTTATGTCTGGAACCCAGGGGGAAGGGGAACAGGGAATCAGGGTTATCCAAATAAACAACTCAAAATCTCCTGACCCCGGCCCAGAGGAAAACAATGTGATAAAGTTCTTTTTTTTATTTTTTTAAATTTTTTTTTGCTTCAAGGCAATCCTCAGTTCTCTAATTTTACTGTGCATACAAAACTCAGGGTGGGGAGTGGAAGTTTGTTATAACTGGAATCCAAGGCTCGGGAGAGAGCCCAAGTGGCCAGCACATGTCTGGTCTGTGCGAAGGCCCTGAGTACAAGCCACCCTCTAGCACCTGCTGAGGGTGGGCCGTATGAGAAGTAAACTAGAGTCTGATTCTGTGTCCTTCGCTCCTACTGTTGCCAGATAGCCAGAGCCCCTCTCCAGAGTAGTTCCAACAGGGCTCTCGTCGAAACCTTGAATTTAGGACCCCTCCTTCCCCCACCTGTCTGCACTCTCCAGCAGGCTGGGGAAACCCTGTGTCACTGTCTGAATGAATGAATGTGCACCTCTACTATCTGAATGAATGAATGCACCTCTTCTGGAATCACTGCATGATTCCCTCTGCCCTGCATGCCCAGGTACTGAGCCATGAGAGAGGAATCAGAGGCCGGATTTGGGTCCAAACCCTTGTCTTTGTAGGAGCAGAGGCCGGAGTAGCCAAAGCAAGTGCCCTCCCTGCTGTCCTGTCACTCGGACCCCATCAAAATGCTCTTGAAGAGACCCAAAATATACCACCTTAGCTTAGGGTTGTGGAGAAGACAGCTGAGATACAGCAAGTGCACAGTGGGGGAGGGGGGGAGGTATAGGGAGGAAGCGCTCTGCTCTCCCCCACTTTCAGCCCCAAAGCAAGTTTGGGTCCGAGTTGTAACACCTGAACCCACAGGATGCCACAGTGTCAGCCACATCCCCCACCTGTGCCAGAGACCCCGTCTTCCTTTCAGAACCTCCCCGGAAACCTCAGTCCTCCGTGCTCCTCTTGTCTCATCACCTCCACCCGCCGCGCTCTCTCTGCAGCTGCTCTTATGCCACCCCCACTGGTGTACAAACCGTCCTTCACTTCTTGGCCTTGAGCCAGTTCAAGTCACAGACAGAAGTCACTGAGCCCAGGAGAGAAGTCACACAGTCGCACAGTCGCCTTGCCCTGGGCTGCCTGGAGACTTTGGTGCAGAAGAGGGGGAGAAAAATGACCCCTAGGAAAAGTACAGCAAGAGACTAACACTCACCAACAACAACAACTGCACCATTGAACTCACCATAACCTGTGGTCAGCGGGAGAAATGGACTCCATAGATTTGACTCATCCAGGTGCAGGGGAGTTACTCAACACAACTTCAGCAAGAAAGCAAATATAGGACTAGCGGGAAAGTGAAGAGGGCTATTAACCTTCGATTAACTACCACAACTCAGTGACCCAGTGGGGAAAAGGTCCCCTCACATGAGGTTAGGCTTTTATTTGCCTTTTTTTCTGGTCACAGTTAGAGGCATAGTGCTCAGGGGCTGGGGCCACACCCAGGGTCTCTCATGTGTGCACCCCAGGCAGACACGGCACTTGGCAAGGAAACCCAAAAGCTGCAATTGCGACTTGCAGAAATGGGGGTGAGGAGAGGAGCTTTGAGCTTTTCACGTCAAACTGCTTCTGGGGGGTGGGCAAGGTCCACAAGGAGGCCGGTAGGCACCGGGCAGGTCTTGAAAGAAGCCTCTGGCCCAGGGGCTGAGCCTGGCCTCCTGCACCCTGGCTCCTTCTGAGCTCCAGGGCTCTGGGGTCAGCATGTAGCGTTGTCAGTCAATGACTTTGACGTTTGGATGCTCGAAATTTCTGGTTGCTTTCTGTGAATCGATTCCAAGGAATGGAATGTCAAGGTGTTAATGGAGGGGTTAATGGAGCTGGGGTTCAGGACAGAAGGCACCAACGGCTGCCTTAGCTGCAAATGGGAAGCCAGAGAGCAATGCCCACTGAGGTCTTCATCACTTACCAACAAAGAAGCCACTTCTTTTGCCAGAGGGCATAGAAATTCAATGTCTGAATCACCCAGGCAGGACCCCAAGCCCATTTTCCTACTCCCACTCCTACATTTGACTGTTTGTATTCACTTTGCTGTGATAAATTTCCCCATCTCCTATCCAAACTCTTTCCACTCCATTCCTCTACTCTGCAACTACATATGTGCCCTCTTGAAAGGTGATATTCTCTTGACCAAGCAACAGAGCCAGGAGTGAGCCCTGAGGGCTTGCAGAGCCGCAGGGCATGCTGGGTCACAAGTTACACCTTGATCCATGAGACAGATGAAGAAGTTGACAGGAAAAGTTCCACTTTGCTTTCGAGGCTGGCTGTTGGGAAGGAAATACAAACGCTGTGATTGTGACTTACAGAAATGGGGGTCATGGAGGTGAGCAGAGAACGCTCTGGACTTGAAGATCACATGGCATGCCAGTGCGCTGTGGCTTTGTTGATGTGACATCTGGAATGAACAAACACTACCCGAGGGTCAAGGGACTTGGCAAAGAAAACCTGTGGCTTTAGCAATCTGCCTAGAGGAAACCAAACCACCAGTCACCGTAGTGGACGTTGCTTATTCCTGGTGTGTTCCGGTAAATGCAACACGGGACTGATTGATACCATCCTTCTTCCTAAGTCGAAGGAGGAAGATGAGTTGGGAGTGGAGAGTTTTGTGCCCGCAGGAACTGGGCCCTGGGCTCAGAGCATGTGATAGGCCAAACTCATCTGCCCTTTGGGGCCGAATTTCTTGAAGGAAGATGAGAAAGGCATGAAGGGACTTCTCTGTTCCTTAATGATCCCACTGATAATACCTATCACCTGTGACCACACCCCCTTCCCGAGGAGGTCACGCCAAGGAGATTCCTCTGGGCTTGCTCCCTCACGCTGGTGTTGGCCTCTGTGTCAGCATATCTGCACAACAGCTGAAAAGCGCTGGCGCTGTGCATGTGAGCCCGCCAAGCCCTGCAGGGAAGGGAGCAGACACATCACCAACATCACTCTGGCTGCTCACTCCCTCCTCCAGGCCCAGGCGCTGTCTCTCAGGCTTCCGCTCAGGAACCCATGCCAATTCTTTGTCAAGTGAAAGCAAAGGAACTCTCTCAGGCTCCATCGTGATGCCAGTCAAGGTGAAGCCCCAGGATCTGTGAGTTCAAGCAAGTGGGCAGAAGCTCTGCCCAGACCAGGGGAGGCTCTGTCCTGGGTACAAAAAGGCTGAAAGGCACAAAACCTCAGAACGCTGGAGACGAGGAAAGCCTCCCTCCCGCTCAGCTGCTTTCCAGCCCGCAAGCTTACCTGTAGTGGTTTCACCTGGGACTCGGGATGGTTTATCTGCAGGGCTGGGTAGTAGGAGTGGGGTCACTGTTTGGTGGTGGCTGGAAGGAGCAGTACTGTTGGACCAAACCTGGCAGTGCTCAGGGATCACTCCTGGCTCTGTGCTCAGGGCTCACTCCTGGCCCTGTGCTCAGGGTTCACTCTCGGCTCTGTGTTCAGGGCTTAGTCCTGGTTCTGTGCTCAGGGATGGCTCCCGGCTCTGTGCTCAGGGCTCACTCCCAGCTCTGAATTCGGGGCTCACTCCCATGTCTGTGCTCGGGGCTCACTCTTGGCTCTGTGCTCAGGGCTCACTCCTGGCTCTTTGCTCAGGGCTCACTCCTGGCGGTGCTTGGGGGACCATATATGATGTCAAGGATGGAAGTGGGAGCATCTGAATGCAAAGCGAAGGCCTTAACCACTGTACTATCCCTCCTTCCCAGTTTCTAGATGCAACTCTCTTTACTTGCTGCATGCTTATTACAGACTGCTGAATTTACCCATCAGCTTTCTATCAGCAAATATCTGACTATGAATTCTCTCTCCTGCTACAACAAACAACCAGCTGTGTGAAAACATGCGGCCCTTGAAGTGGGCTGTCTTCTTTGCAAACATTTTCTTCCTTATAAAATTAAACAAGAGGGGCTGGAGCAATAATACAGCGGGTAGGGCGTTTGCCTTGCACGCGGCCAACCCGGGTTTGATTCCCAGCATCCCACATGGTCCCCCGAGCACCGCCAGAAGTAATTCCTGAGTGTATGAGCCAGAAGTAACCCCTGTGCCTTGCTGGGTGTGACCCAAAAAGAACAAAAAATTAAACAAGAAAAAAACTCAGGCTTAGAGCAGAAGTTGCTGATAATTCTCAAATTTTCAAGACTTTGGACCTCAAAATTCAAAAATATCACTCTCAGTTTTTTTTTCAAACAAGTTAAATGGTTTCTGCTACCTCTAGGAATAACATGGTTCTTCCTGATCTCTCTCCCATGACCCACTTTTCCTCAGCAGACATCGTGGCTAGATCCACTATTTTTCCACATCCTTATATCCAATATGGCAGCCAGTCCTTGGGCTTTTGCCTGTACTGACTTAAACAACCATGGGGTTCTTTCGTGGTCAGGCATCTCCTCAGGGTGGCAGCTCCCCTTTAGAGACAGCTGGGACTTGAGTCTAGTGAGGCCCAGAGACAGTGGTAACCCAGGAGAAACAGCATCTTATGAGATGATTGCCTCGGTGGGAGGCCATTACAATTTCCTCAGTCAGGGCAGGGTCATCTCTGAGATGAAGGAGGGACAGGGTGCGTCTCCTGGCAAAGAGGACCTCTCAGGACTAAGGGGTCACATAATCTCTCAGCTTTCCAGGCCCCATTCCTTCCAAGGCTCTGCTCTAACAGCAGACTCCTGTGAGGCAGGAATTCAGTGGGTCTTCCCTTCTGCCACCACAAACCTTCAGCAGGCTCAGGAGACGAAAGTCCCCTTGGGGGAGGGGGGGTACAGAACCATATTTTAGGTCATCCCCACCTTGCCTGGACTGAGAATTCTGATTCCTGAGTTCAACCCACTCTGTCAGTGACAAGCAGGGCAACCAACCAACCTCATTCTCCTTAGCTTGGATGTCCAGGTCCCTTCTATGTGGTCATTAGAGTAGCCAATGGCGCTCTTTGGGGACTCTCCATTGCCACATCCCACCAGGGCTGCCAATCTTCTATGTACTACTGGAAATAGTTGGCAGGATCTTTAAATCCAGTCAGATCAGAGACCCAACCCCTAAATTCCAGAACCAACGTAGGAACCTTAAGCTTCTGTTGCTCTAAACCATATTCAGAACCAGAACTGCTGGGACTGGATTAGTCTAACTTTGAGAATAATCTCGGAATTAGTCTAGTCCTGAGATAGAACACATTTAATGGTATTAAAAGGCTCTGTAAAAGACTGAAGGTGTTTATGCTACATAAGTCTGACTCTCCTTCATATGTGAAAGTTGCAAAGGGAAAAATCATGGCCCATTTCCCACTTGGACTTACCGAGCATTCCTTTCTTGGCACTCGACAGACACATGTCCTTCTCGGCACTGGGCAGGGCAAAGCTCACCACAAACACCTCCACTCCGTCTGCCATTAAGGCCAGACCCAGGACGAAAAAGAGAATCCACTGGAAGCGCCCATGGCCACACTCCTCCATGATGGTTTCATACTGGTGAGCCAACTGCTCCTCATCCTCCATCCTCTCTGCCATCATGTCCGCTCGCCCGTGAAAACCATCAGCCCTGGAGGGTGCCATCTTGGCCTGCTTGGCCGTGACGTCGTCAGGGTGAGGGATGCCCTGGTACTCGCCCTCGTAGACCTCATCCTCCTCATCGTGGCCTTCCGTAACGTCGCTCTGCGCATCCTCGTCTGGGTTGGACTCTCCACCACGATAGTAGCCATCACTGGGGGCATGGCCCCCGTAGTTCGCCTCATACCCATAGTCATCCACCCCTTGGTTCCGGGACTGTCTGGATGCTTCCCACGCTATATCCCTCGCCCCCCGGTAGAGGTTCGGATTGTTTCGATAACCGTCCTCCATGCTGTGTGCAGAGATTCAGACACTGAATAAGTCTATGGGAGTTCTTGGGAGTATAGGCGATGCCACTCTTTGCTCCTCTGTCTCTCAACTAGAGCGGATTGATGCCAAAGCAATGTCTGTGTCTTTGTTCATTCAATGGTTTCTGGAAGTCTCTGGAAAACTTCAAATTCTGGTATGGGTCCCCACAGAAGATGATGGATGGGAGGTGTTAGTTAGGAACAGGTGCAGCTGACTTCAAGAACAAGGCTCTCAGCTGCCCTGAAGCTCCCCGGGTGGTCCGATTTGTTCTGCCACTTATGAGGAAGCCCTGGGAGTACAGAAAAAAGAAAGACAAGAGCATTAAGAAATGGCAGATTCTTGTGCCTTTTTCCCTCTGGAAAGAAAGATGGCTGCTGCTTGGGAGCTTTGTGGAAAGCCAGGTATGAGCCCGTCGTGATGGGGCGACTAAAACCTCATGGGAAGGGGGGTGCTCCCGGTTCGTCCTTCATGCCCTCCCGAGGTCACGAGTTGCCCCCCAAGAGCGGCTCTCCGGCACGGCCATGGCTCCAGAGCACAGAAACCAATCTCATAATTACCTGTCTCTCAGCAGAAATACTTCCAGGGTCAATACGTAAAATACCAGAAATCCAAAATCACGTGGCTGCAATTTGATTCTTGTGACCAGCTTTAGAAAACAAATTCACAATGCCTTTTCAGCATGTCTGATTTGGGTGTGTAAAGTCTAAATAATAATGGTGCATCTTTTGTCGAAACAATGAATCTAGTCAAAGTAGATAGAGTGTTAACTAGAATTCATCTGCCTCACAGGCATTGGGAGGGTTGGCAGGGGGTGGTTTATTGGGGTTCTTTGTGGTGAAAAATAAGTATTGGTAAAGGGAAATATGTTTGATATTTGCATAACTGAGACTTAAACCTGAAAGCTTTGTAACTTTTCCCACAGTGATTCAAAAAAATAAAATAAAATAAATAAATAAATAAAAGAAATGGCAGATTCTGGACAAAATCTGGACAAAACACTCTCCAGATTGAACCCATGTATTTCCTAATGGTCCTGGTGTGGAACGGAGGGAATCTTGAGCTGCTGTTGGATTCCTTCTGAATGAGTGTGGGTTGGGTCAGGGAGATGGAAGCTAAGAAAGAGAGAACAAGGCCTCTAAGGGGGGGACAAACCACGAACCCTCCACTAGCAAGAGCCATAAAGCAGACACGGGATTGCACCTTGCCAAGCCTTTGCCAGAACAGCAGGCTCTTTGCAGTCCGTTGCCTTTCGAAGACACAAACTTCCCTAACCCTGGGATGTGTGGCCGAGCTGGGCAAATCTGCACCTAGAAATATGTAGCAGAGGAATCTCCAGGACTACTTTTCCCAAAGCCCTATTCCTCAGAGAGGCCTCACTGCACTGGGCAGAAACAGTGAAAGGGGCAGACTAGAGGGGCAGGGGGATGCAAAGACCAGTGTGTCTCAAAAGCAGGGACACTAAGAGTCATTGATGGGCCTGGGCGATGGGACAGCAGTGAAGGTGCTTGCCTTTCACAGGGCTGACCTCAGCATCACACACACACACACACACACACACACACATACACACACACACTGCCAAGAGTAACCCTTGAATGCTGCTGGATATGTCGAAAACAAAGAGTCATTCAACATGCAAATCCCAGGCAAGAGGGTTAGTACAGAGGATGAAGCACTTGCCTGGCATGCAACTGACTCCAGTTTGATTCCCCACACTGCATATGGTCCTGCAAACACTGCCAAGAATGATTCCTGAGCACTGCCACAGTTGGCCCAAAATCCCCACCCAAAAATAAAAACTCTAAAATAAATAAAATTCTAAAACAGAAGAAAAGGAAAGAAAGAGAAGGAAGGAAGGAAGGAAGGAAGGAAGGAAGGAAGGAAGGAAGGAAGGAAGGGAGGGAGGGAGGAAATTCCAAGATTTTTCCCCCAGGCCTGACTTGCAAAGTTGGGGGAAGAGACTGAGAATCTGCATTTCTGACAACCTCCCCCCCAGGAACCCCCAGGCTGGCATCAGGATCCCAGAAGTGACAGAAACAGAGTCTCACCCTCCTACCAAGAACTTCACTATTCCCAGGAAATAAATGCCCTCCAGATTGTGCTGACCACTATGTGTCAGACAAACATTCCCAACGGGAGAGCGCCAAGTACCTGGGGTTCTACCCATCCAGGCAGGGGCAGCAGGATGAATGGACATGCAGGCTGGGAGTGTCCGTTGGGGCCAACAGTGCCAATCTCTGATCCAACTGAGTGAAGGGTAAGAGCAGAGCAATGGGAAGAAAGAGCACAGCATGGTGGGTGGGATGAGGAGTCTCTTCCACTGAGAAATGTCAACTCAGTGATTTTTGCCAGTTTCTAGATCCTACGATTGCTGATAAGTCTCAAAGTTCCAACTCCAGCTATAGCCCAGGGGTCCCCCAACCCCCACCTGGCAACGACCTTCGTCAAAAGTAGTTCTGGGCAGAGGTGATAGGGTTAAGAGGAGGCATTAAGGTGGGCTCTGATCAAATAACCAGTTACCTTACAAAAGGGTTTCGGGCCATGGCCAGGCCCCCGGACCAACCTGACTGTAGGGCTTGCACGTGGGATATAGAGCAGAACAGTTTAAGAGCAAAGAGCTTGTCCAGATTCAACCCAACTCTGACCCTTTCAACTCTCCATGCTTGCCTCAGTGTCCCCACCTGTCAAAGGGCTACGATCTCAAGCTGGAGGAAGAAACTGGAGAATTATCCAGAACTTAGGGTCCTCAAACTCTTTTTTCTGAGATTTATTATTTTTTTTCTTCATTTTTCCAAACCCAGCTGTGCTCAGGACTTATTCCTGGCTCTGCGCTCAGAGATCACTCCTGGGGGAGTTTAGAAGTCCCCGGGTAGTGCTGGGGTTCGACGCCAGGTCAGCCACATATAAGGCCAGTACCCTCCCTGTTACACTGCTGCTCTGGTCTCTGGTTCCTCTGACCCTTGACCCAATCCACAGAAGAGAGATTTGCCAGAGAAAACCATTCAGTCTCATGCAAACCAAGGCCAATTGTGTATGGGCCTTGGTTTGTGTATGGGCCATTGTGTATCCTGCAAGGAGCTTTATGCAATTTAGAGACAAAGTTGGGAATGGGGGGAGGGGGCCTGGGATAGTGCAGCATGGAGGGCGTTTGCCTTGCTTGTGACTGACCTAGGTTCGATCCCCAGCATCCCATATGTTCCCCAGAGCACTGCCAGGAGTAATTCCTGAGTGCTGAGCCAGGAGTAACCCCTGAGCATCACTGGATGTGAACCCCCCCTCAAATAAAAGGCCCTCCCGTTGATCATCGATTTGCTCGAGCGGGCCCAGTAACGTCTCCATTGGAGACTAGGGGCTGGAGCGGGAGCGATAGCACAGCAGGTAGGACGTTTGCCTTGCACGGGGCCGACCCGGGTTCAATTCCCAGCATCCCATATGGTCCCCTGAGCACCGCCAGGGGTAATTCCTGAGTGCAGAGCCCGGAGTAACCCCTGTACATCGCCGGGTGTGACCCAAAAAGAAAAAATTCAATTGATATGCCCCTCAAATAAAGCAAAAATAAATGAATAATTTTTTTTGAAAGCTGGGAATCCGTGTTGGACAGAAAGAGGACATTCTCCCAGGCTGCTGTCTGCTCAACGCATGCACAAAGTGAGCTGAACGGAGTGGTCCCCGCCGCCCCTGCCCACAGCCTGTCTGCCAGGCACATCGCTCTCCTCTTTACAGAGATTCTGCTGCTTCTGGGGGAAGCAAGAGCAGGGAGGGTGATGTTCATACACTGTATCTTCCATCCAGAAAAACCCACATGCTCTTCGGGCACAATTTAGAGGTTCGTCCTGAGGACACAGGAGGTAGTCCGGAAAGGGCACTTAGCACAGTCCCTAGAGATGTGACCCTCCTGTACCACTGCTGTCATTATGGCTATCTGAAGGGACACTGATCATGAAATGTGTAGCCAAGAACACAGAGGGAGCCTCTCCCAGCTCTGCCTGAGATTTGGGCCCATCTGGGCTAAGCTGGAAAACCAAACGGCGAGAAAAACAAACTGACATTTAGTTACTCACAAAGCCAATTGCCTCTCACAAAACTCCAAACTCTTGATTTCTCTCTCTTATTTTTTTTTCTTTTTTTTTTAAATTTTATTTTCATAAGGTTGTTCACATTAATTGATTACATTTAATATTCCAACACCAATCCCACCACATTACACCTTCCCACCATTTATTTCAAACTTTCCCACCACCATTCAAGCCTGCCTGCCAGGGGGCAGATGCTAGATCATTTATTTTCTATTGCTTATTATGAATATCAGAGAGATTGCGCAGCCGCAAAAGCAGCCGTGTGCTTCTAGAATTCTAAAATTGTAAATGGCTGGGGACAGAGACATCTCTGTAGGAGTTTATTCATTTTGAGACTCACTTGGGAGACTCTGGATCAAAGCTGTTGATGCACTGAGATGGCGTCCGGAGGCAGATTTTATGTGTGACAGCCAAGACCCCAAGTGGGTGGGGAGACGGGAAGGGCTGGCCCATCTCTGCTGCCACCATGGAGTCTTAGTCCCTGAATCCAAGTACCTGAATTTTTCTTCTGGAAGCTTGTGGCCACCAGGGTTTCATCTGGAGTGGGCAGAGAGGACACACCCGCTCCCTCTGAGGTACCCAGTGAAGTTGGCTTGATACAGGGTCTGGAGGGATCTCTGGCAAAGCTGTTATCTTCCAGGATCACTGCTATGTCTCTGGATCAAGGCCATTGATGCGATGAGGTGGCGCCCAGAGCTTCTCTCTTTTTATGTCTTTTTTTTTTATCACATCCAGCAATGCTCAGGGGTTACTCCTGGCTCTGCACTCAGAAATCACTCCTAGCGGTGCTCAGGGGACCTTAGGGATGCAGGGAATCAAACCCAGGTCAGCCAGGTACAAGGTAAATGCCCTCCCCGCTGTACTGTCACTCTGGCCCTTGAGATCTGATGTCTTAAGCAGCTCCTCAATCACGCAGCTCTGAGCTGGGTGCTGCTGGACCCAGGACAGGTATAGAGTAAACACTTATTCAGAATTAAACCGCACAGAG